CTTAAAACAGAAAATATACTTTGTATTTTGGGGAATTTTAAAAAGAAAGGACAAAAGTGGGACTTGTTGATGATGTTAAATGTTTAACTTAAATTTTTATCCCGCAACACAAAAGGGCATAACTGAAATAGATTTAAGTTAGGTTTGACGTCGGTGGGCGGTCGGAAAAACGGTTTTGGGTTTGAAAAGTTTTTTTTGAAATTTTAATAATCTGACGTCAGGTGAGTCCCAAACTAACCCTTTTTTTAAAAAAACCCTTTTTAAAGAACCCAAATCTGAACCCTTATCTAACCAAAATTTTCCCACCCAATTTTTGGCCAAATTTTCCCCACTAATCTGACCTTTTTCCGGGCTAAAAAAAACCAGTTTCTAAAAATTTCCCCACCCCAAAATTTACCAATTTTTCCCGAACCCAAATTTAACCCTTTTTTGGGCCCAAATTGATTTTTTGACCTTCATCTTATCATTCCCCTAATCCTTTTTGTTTCACCACGTCATAAATATTTTCTGGCTAATCCTGATTTGATCTTATTTAATGTAACTCATTCTATTAAGTAACTTTCCCTCAAATGAAATGTATAACAGAAAACTAAAAGCAAAAAATATGTTTCATGTTTTTTTTAATTTAAGATAAAAGTTGCAATTTTAAGCTGATCAATACATAAAATTTTAGTAAATTCTGCAAGGTTAAATAATTTTCATAAATTAAACAAAATAAAACATAAAATAAGTTAATTACAAAACAAAAAGTATTACAAAAACAATGACATAAATGAAACTAAGAAAACATGTACAAATATTTAAGAACAAAACAATGTATGCACATTTCTATCAAAGTTTGCCTTATCAATGAAAACAATGAAAATATTATAATTTTTAAGAAAAGATACAAGATTCTGATAATAATGTTTGACAGATTTTCAGTACTTTAACTATATTTCTACAGCATTTCTAAAACATTTAGTGCCATTTTGCATATTTTGACCTCCTTTGATAATTGTCAGTAATGTATAAATTGCTGCCTTTTTAGTTACTTCACAAAGTTATACTTTTAGAATATCCATGAGAATTAGCACGAATTTTGAGGTGTGATGCTTTAAGATATGACCTTCTTTCAGCACCCCTCGTCTGTCTGGAGGATATGTAGCGCCCAATAGCGTGTGTGACATCATTTTCACTGAAAAAAAAAAAGAAATTTATGAAACATGTAAAAATAACAAGCAAAAATGTTTTCATGGTAGTATTAACTTAATGAACAATTTTGCCAACTTTTTATAAGAGAGCTTTAACAAAAATTAAAAGTAAACATAAATACTGAACATTTAAAAAGCCGCTTTAAACTCCCGTTTAGTTTGGTTGGGGGGTATGTAATAGAAATTTACAAAAATTTACTTTCAATTTTTTTTTTTTTCATTTCATGTGGGTTTCCCTCCCCCCGACCTTTTAGAGCATGTCCAAAATTTAACTACCCGAAAGAAAATTGTATTCTAACTAGTATTTTATTCCTAGTTTGGAAAAAAGAAAGTTACGGAAAATCTAAAAAATTTTATAGTTTTAAAATTGGAATTTTAATGCCCAAATTTTTTGGAACCCAAAAAGGGCTTGGGGTTATTTGGGAGGGGAAAGTTTTTGGGGTTTTTTGGGGGAAAGTTTTGTCCCAAAAGCTCAAATTGTACAAAATTTTTCCCAAATTTAGATTTTAAATGAAAAAAAAAATACTTTGAAAAAAAATTTAAAACAAACTTCTCTTTGGTAGTACTGAAAGGCATATTATAAACTCTTCACAAGCAGAGTTAAAACATGTCAATTTTAAAAAAGATTTATTATTAGACATTATCGCGAATTTGTGTGACATTTTACTTCAGCAGTTCAAATAATGATAATTAAATTTAAGAGTGCTTGCAATCATGCAATTATTAATCAAATACAAAGTAGAAATAAATCTAAATAAATTGAACTGACCTTTTTTGTTCAAGAAAAACCTATAATATTCACTTATCAATGCATCCCGATTCCTGACCGACAGCCAAAACGTAAACGCCTACGAATTTGAATTTCCATCCACGTGACTTTAGATTCGAATTAAAGGTTAATTATGTTTTCTTTCCCTTTTCTGTCACTATGATTAAATGTTAAAGCACTATTAAAAACACGTCATTTTGATACATATAATGTACCACAAATGATAATATTACAACGTTAAATGATTGGAACTTGTAAACAGATCTGTAGCTATAAATAGATTCCATAACAATATAACACATGTAACTTACGTATATACAGCGCCACCTTTATGTTTTATTAGGTTGCAGCGCCGCGATCTTGGTCTGTATTTATATAAGAACACTTCATTTGTAATCCAAATAACATTTGAAAAAAAGTTTAAATGATTACAACAGCGAATAAGGATTTTTTTTTTGTATTTTTTTACCTACCGTAAGGACACCGACCATAACCCGACGTTAGTACGACGTCAAAAAGAAACGTCAATTAGACATCGGTATTCTAACGTCAGATTTACGTCATATTTTGGTCGCTGACGTCGTGACCAAAATCTAACATTAATCCGACGTTATTTTAACGTCATGTGTTTGCTGGGATTGAACCATCTCTGCATGTATAGTTTCATACTTGTAGTAACTATTTTTCATTATGTAAAAAGTCAAAATGTTTTTATAAAAATGTTAAATACATTTAAACCATATTATTGTGGTTGAATTTTGTCTTCTTTTTAAAGCAACTTAATCTAACAAAACATATGACCAAAATTACTCTTCTTAATAATCTTAAAGTTTTTTAGTTTGGTTTTACATCCCAACAAAACTGTAAAGGTCATATGGCGACTATCCAGCATAACTGGTGGAGGATGCCATCACATGCCCCCTCCCCCTCTTTGCCGTATTTCAGACACAAACAGGATCCTGAGAAGAACTATTATGAAGGCAAGCTGGACAGCTTCCTCAACTGAAAGAATCCAATATCCCTGGCAGGATTTGAGCCTACAGTGATAGGGAGCAAGTTGTTTGAAGTCAATGACCTTGACCTCTTGGTCACAGATAACAAATACTAGTAATCATTATGTTTATGTGGCACCAACATTTTAAAAGTCAAATACTGAATTTTTAGCTTTACCGGAAGACTTCAGGTGTGCTTCTGAGCATAGTTTCAGGCATGAACAGGCACCTAAGTGGAACCACTGACATTCTGTAGGTTAGATGGATAGTTTTTCCTCATAAAAAAAGAATACAAAGTCAATGGTCAGGATTTAAACACATAGTGGTGAAAGACAAAGAGTCAGAAGTCAATGACCATGACCACTCCACGTAGGATGCCCAACATAATCATTCAGTAAAATAATAGTTAAAGAACTCTGTAAAATAACTTATTTAGAATACCAACTTTTAACTTGTCGACAACTTCTAGCTCAGACTGGTATTTGTCACACAGTACTGTATGGTCGTGCTTTAGAACCTCAAAGTCATGTGACAATATTTTATAATCTTCCATCCATTTAGAGACTGAATTTTTCTCCTCTGCTAGCTGTAAATAACATTAACAACTGAACAGAAACTTAACCATTGTATAACAGAAAACAGTAAAAAGAACCAAGTTAACACATAATAAGTTTGATCTACTTGGTGATAGCATAAGTTTAACAATTGAACATTTACTTTAAATCTTTCCTCTTTCTTATGCTGTGTTCTCACCGCTGATCAGATCAACTTGATCAAGCGATCTGGTACCGGTCTAGTTCGGTCTGCATGCGTGATCCGGGGTGATCAGAGCGGTCTACCTTTGTCGGCATGGCTCGGGCTTCCTACCCAAATTTTTTTGACATGTCAAAAGAAATTCAAGTAGCGATCGAGTAGATTAGCGGTCGAGATGCAATCGTATAGTGATCGAGTAGAAGATCTAGTTGATCGAGAATAAATCATGTAACGATCTAGTTTGGTTGGATATACATCTCTTACCGGATCTGTACACGACTATTCACAACTGGATTACGATCATTACGATCTGGTCGGATGGAAATCTGGCAACGATCGAGCAGAGGTCCATTTAGTCTAGTTGAGATCGTGTATGACTCGCGTAAAGGTCTGGGTGATCGAGAAGAAGTCGGGATGTTTGTCGGATTGTCGTCAAGAAGAAGTTGTAAAACATCTTGAAGGGTCGATTTGAGGTCATGTAGGAGTCATGAATGTGCATTTAATCCAGCTTGGTCCACGTATCATCGGGAAATTAATGTGATTGGGACAATCAAGTTGATCTGATTGGCGGTGAGAATAAGTAATTGAAATTGAAATAGATATTTTAACAACCAACGCAAAATTTTGAAAATACACTTTACCACCTAAAATAACAAGTCAAATAAGTAAACAATCAAACAAAATTCCAAGTTAATTAATGAAACAACTACTTACGGAATTCTTTTCTATTTCAAGACGCTTCTCTAGAGACCCATTAATACCCGTTAAATTTTTCAAGTCTTCATTTAATTTATCCACTTTATTTCTTAACAGAGTTACTTCAGATTCCATCCCTGCCAAGTTATGTTTTGTATTTCGTAAATCAGATTCTAGAGTTAATATTGCGTTGTCTTTGTTCCTTGAATCTTTTTCTGTTGATTTTTGAGTAGTTTCTGTCCTCTCAATCTATGAAGAAAGAAGTTATGAATTTATTAACAATACCATTTTCTCCCAAAATATCTTGAAAAATTAAACAAAACACAGAAAGTTTAATTCTGCACACACAAACAAACCAAGTCACAAAATCAAATCATTGTGCTCTAAGACACTTGTTTCATTAAAATATCTTATTCATTGAGTAAGGTCAAGTTTAAAGTTCAAATGAAATTGTTAAATTAAGTATAATTTTAAACCAGTTGAAAAGATTATTCTAAATACAATCCTTTTACAACCATATTTTTCTTCTTTTTTCTTCCATCTTATGTGACACTAACACAGTAAAGGTCCTACAGAAATTTTCCAGCTTAACTGGTAAAACTAGGCCCCAAATGCCCCGTTCATTAATTTATTTCAAGCATGCACCTAAGCTGAACCACCAGATGATGAAAGAATCCAATGTCCAAAACAAGATTCATGCCCATAGGGATGAGGGGACTATTTTGGAGTAATTATATTGTACTGGTAATTTGAAATTAACTGTATAACTGGAGTAATTTTGCTTACTTTTCTAATGACATCTTGAATCTCAACCTTTCTCTCATCGTTGTTTTTTCTCTCAATCTCAAGCTCTTTCTCCAGGTGAGATTTCTCGTTCTGTAACTTAGTTCTCTCCCCTACCAGAAACTGATTTACCTCCCTTGTTGATACTGCTTCTTTTATCTGTTCAAATGAAGTTTTGTTGATAAACATTTAATAACCATTAATTTTTGTTTATTTTTCTGGTTTTTATGCCAAACTTTTACACGTGTATTTGAGTCATATCTTGGCAGTCGCTTCACCTATTACGATCTTTCCTAGATAACTAACCAGTTATTACCAATTTGTATGCCATTGACAGACCGCTTATCCCAGCTGATTGGTGACAAACAAATGACTATTAGATTCAATGTCCAAGGCTCATTATTAGGGAGAAATTACAATGATGAAGATAGAAATCAAATTTCATTAGATTATCAACAATTTGTGTGTATTTAGCTTGGTAGATTGTAGTTTTCATGGTTTCCAATTGTTATCTGTAGAACCATTTGGCTAACTTACACTCCTTTGCTTTGATTTCATATATAAATTCTAAACATCATTAATTTATAGAGGAAAAACAATGTGTGTAGTTGCCAATTTTATTGAACAAGTTTTAATCAATTTAGCAATGAAGCTACACAAATATAACAATCTATTTATCTCAAAGCCATACCCAAAGAAAAGCACAATTACCAGTCAAAAAGAAAATAAGCACAGTTAACAGTAAAAAATAATCATTTTTCCTTAATGCGCTTATACTGTTACACTAACATTTAAAGTGTTGTAAGGTTACGTCTGTATAACTCATATAACATCACATCAAAATAAATGCACAATCATGCCATACAATTTATGGAATGAATATAAATTAAATTCACTCTTATACAGGAAAAAGTTGTACAATTATTTTACCTTGAGAGTGAGTTATGAGATCATTCTAGCTATGTCTTCTCTATTTGCTATACTGTCATTGTGTACAAGCTCCACTTTACGATGTAAAAAAAACTATCTCTATAAGCTGACGGCTCAATATAGATTGCATGATGGTAAGAAAAAATAGTAAAAACCAGCAAAGTAACATCATATAACTTGAATAAGACTGTATTTCTTTATTTTAATGCCACCTCATGAAAAGCAGGAACAAAAACAGATTATCAATTGCGTGTACTTTACCTCAAAATACTCAATGTCAATACCAAGACGGGATAAATTGCATGTACTTTACCTCAACATAGGCAATGTCAAAACGGAATAAACATTGAAGCATGCGAAACAAAATAAATATGTATACGGTATCCCGTCCGTACATTTTTTCATGAATTTCCTGAGATTTTTTCATGAATCTTTTTCCATGAAAATGTTCCAGAGTTTTAAAAGTTTGAAATATTCCAGAGTTACTCTGGAAAATGTTCCGGAGTTACTCTGGAAAATGTTTCAGAGTCGCTCTGGAAAATGTTCCGCATTTAAAAATAGGATCTGGAGTCAAAAATGCCATTAGCCTTGAAATAATTCTGGAATTACTATGGAATTCACTCTGGAACATTCTGTAATTACTATGGAATTCACTCTGGAACATTTTGGGATTACTGAAATGATGGTTGCATACTTAAATCAAATTACCTTTGATTTTGCATTTTTGTTTTTATTAGCAAATCAAAAAAGCACTCTCGTCGTCAAGAATTTAAACACTTATGGTAATTTGCACATTTCACAATTATTTCTAAGTCAGGGTGTTTAATTCAAACAAATGTAGTTTAACATACATCTAGTACACATGTATTTATCCTTCACTTCACATGATACAACATCTTCTTGACTTGTGGTGTGACCTCTCCGATGGATACTGAAAAATATAAATTAATTGTATATAAATACATGTACTTGTGTTATATGCACATTGTCAATATAATTAGTATTATTTAAACATGATTGATAAAAAAACATGAAAGGGTGAAAAAAGTTAAGATGGAAAACTTTCAATTAAATGATATTTGCAGAATATCAGCACAGAGTTATCAAGTAAACACCATGCTTTGATGAAAATAATTTATTTTTGGTCAAAAATTAACAATATGATAAACTTGTGTCAATTATTTCTCTGCTTTTCCTATATCTATGTACTAATGACAACTTAATGTAATGGCAGTTTAGATTACTCAATGATCTTCACAAGTACTTAATTATCACTGAAAGTTTGAGATGTGTTCAGTGGACTCAGTATAGAGATGTGTTCAGCGGAGTCAGTATAACAATAATATATGTATTAAACATGAAGAACAACATTTTGTTCAGTGTTTTGAAATTAGAATGCATTTATATGAAAACACGTCACTTTGACTTTTTTCAACAAAACAAACTAAATTATTACCAGGATAATTTTGTGAGCATTCTATATTCAACAGTACATTTTTTCCTTTTCCCTCATCTGATATCCTTTGAGTTGAAACATCGCATGTGACTCAAAGACTTGAAAGTTTGCAACCTAACGTTGAAAAAATAAACATATGTACATGAGTAACAAGAAATTACAATTAAGGCAAAATTATTATGAATTTTATTAAATGTGAATTTGGAAATTCATTGCTTGATATGGAATCTGTTTCAATCACCAATATTTTGAATGGGAAATTTAATAACAATAATCTCCGATTTGAAATTTCCCGCCTTTAATTAAAAATGAAAAAGATTTTCTTTATTTACCATTAATATTGAAAAGTTACATTTATATAAAAAAAAAACAATCACTAAAAAAAGTTTTTACTTGCAAAAAAAGTTTGAAAAAAACTTAAATAATAAGTGTAAAATAAAAATACATTTGTACTTACTATAAGAAATGGTTATATACATATAGTTCCCTCCACTTTCACTGAATCATGAAATACACATGTTTAAAGTTCATATTTCCAGAAAACTTTTGTAAATTCGTCCAGTTTTAACTCATTTGATCTAATTTCCAATGCTCAAAAATAATTTTTCATGAAATACACATGTTTGAAAGTTCATAATTCCCGAAAACTTTTGTAAATTCGTCTAGTTTAAACTCATTTGATCTAATTTGCAATGCTCAAACATAATATTTCAAGTTATAACTTTTAAGCAGTTAGGCACTTATAACCATTATCTTTCAATGCTTCTGTTCAAATGACCCTCCTGGAAGGAGTGTTCTGACCTGTGATTTATTCTGCAAGGGTATTAAGTTACTTGGGAGCTACAGTGTAATAAAGTATGTTGTAAACCTGCTTTACCTCTATCATAGGTGAGTTTACCTTTGGTAGTTATTAAACCAGTTGGGTCATAAATATTTACATTGTGGCTGATGCTGATTTGAATGTTCCAGAATTAATCACTATATATGAGTTACTTCTACACAGGATGAATAAAATATAAATTATATATACTTCAATAGAGATACATAATAAATTTATCTTCAATTAATAAAGAAACATAAGTGTAGAACAATAACATTTGTTCCTAAATTTAACTTGTTTCTCTTTAATTATGTATTTAATTTTTCTACCTTAGGGTAATATATGATAATGAACCAATCAGATCGGGCTTGAAATGAGATACTTTAAAAATAATGAGAGTTAAATAATAAAATTCCTTAATGCATTTTCAATGCCAAAATGTGGCAATAGGGTTGCATGTGTTTTTTTTTTAGTTTTTTTAGTTTTTTGGCAATAAAAAAGAAACAGTTAAGCTCTTGAGGGGCTTATTACGGTTTCATTTTGTTTAACTATAAGTGTTTATTTTGCTAACTGCTTCTTTTAATTACAGTGAGTACACATGTATGACCAATCTCATTGCTCAGTAATTAAATTCATGTGTTATTGCTGTTGTATCTAGTCAACAATTTACAATTGTGACAATGCCATATTTTAAATTGTCTTTATTTTCATTATGTCTTAAAACCAGAAAACTGTCTTATATTATAAAGATCATTTATGCCTACTTAGGAAACAATATTAAAGTTGAATGTATTTAGTGAAGTATAAGGAAATGCAGAAATGAAAAGAAAATTTCCTAAGTCCAAAACTTTCTCAAAAATGACTAAGTGTTTTCCAGAGTCAAACTCCTTGTACATTGTCTAAGTGTTAACTTTCCAGAGTTTCCAGAACTGTATCATGGTTATTTCTTTGATGAAGAAGTCAAGTTCCAGAGATTTCCATGAAAATTGTTCCAGAGTACTTTGTAAATACTGTGGAAAAAAGCTTGTTTCCATGAAAATTCATGAAAAATCGGTTATTTTCCAGAGTATTTCCGGAAAGACTGTTGAAAATCTACAGACGGGATGTCAATATAAAGGTAATTGCATTACCAAATGATAAGTTATAAGGACTAAAAAATGTAAACCCTTGACATTAATGGTTAACACAAATATAGGTTAGGGTCATATAGAGCATATAAAATTAATAAAATGTATCCACATGTACTAATTATTATGTAAAATATGAAAGACATAACTTTTCTTTTTTTTATTTTGGGTTGGTTATATAAATACTTCATACCAACACGGTAATGGTCAAATGGCGACTTTTCAGCTTTACTATTGAAGGAAGACCAAAGGTACCTCTCTGTGCATTATTTCCATGGGCACCTTGTAGAACTATATAAGCTACCTAAATTAGCCTTCAAAAATGTTGAGATCAAATCTTTTGCGGAAGACAAACCAACATCAGTGAGGAACAAGTGGTTTTAAGTCAACACCCTTAACCACTAAAGTCTTGGAAATGGACCCCCAGAAATATATAATTTACTTAAGAATAAAGTTATGATGGTTAAATTTGACCTGTAAGGTCAATGTAATACGATAAGTTCAAGGTCAACTTTCAATATGACAAATGTTAAACAATGTTCAGATGTATCATATCTCAGAATATAATAAAGAAATAATATCGGTCTTAGCGGTGTTTATCGGCTATTTAATACCCGGTTTGGAGCTTAGGAATTGACCACGAAGGCCGTAGTTGGTAGGCGGAGCTTTATTCATCTTCAGTATACATCTCTTGTTCCTAACTATCACCAGAGTTCACTTCACGTAGTCGCCCGACATCTTCTTCTAGCTCGACACAACGGTCCTGCGCTCTACTCAAATTCACGTCCATAGATATTATCTATAGCATATAGAAAGGCAAAGCTGTTTGACAGTTTTGAAAGTAAAAAAACTTAGTCACTGCAAACTTAAGGTAGTCTTACTGTAATGCTTTCCTGACAGAAAATTCTAAATCAGCTAATATCTTAATCAAAAGGTCTTTCCCGAAACGTTTTTTTAAATATCTTCTAAACATTCTTAACCATTTATAACTTGAATTTAGTACATAGAGATGTCTCAAGGATGTTTATTTGAGTATTAAAAGGAGCATAAATTTGTGATTAAGTAAATCAGAGTTATGGGACCTGTGCCAATCATGTTAAAAAATCACAGTGGAAATGTATGTGTAAAGTTTCATTCCATTCCCTTTAATTAGTTAGGGAGATACCAGCTTACAAGCAGAAAGTTAACCATGAGTTTCATTGAGTATAACAAGAGGGCCATGATGGCCCTAGATCGCTCACCTGACCCATCAAACTCATCCAAACAATTACCTACACAAGCATTCTGACCAAATCTCATGACAGGTGAGTCAAAAGTGTGATCACTACAGTGTTAACAAGGATCATCCATATTTGAGCAGTGTGACCTAGTTTTTTACCCAGGTGACCCATATTCAAACTTGACCTAGAAATCATCAAAACAAACTTTCAGACCAATTTTCAGGATACTTGGATCAAAACAGTAGCAACTAGAGTGTTAACAAGATTTTTATATTTTTAGCTCCGGTGACCTAGTTTCACATGCGATTTCGAACTTATCCGAGCAATTACCTAGACAAGCATCCTGACCAAGTTTGATTATAATTGAGTCGAAAATATGACCACTAGAATGTTAACAAGGTTTTTCAATATCTGGGCGGTGTGACCTAGTTTTTCATCCAAGATGACCCATGTTCGAACTTGACTTAG